AAGGAGAAGAGAGTACATGACAGAAGACGCCCTACTCAAAGCCTTCTTTGCTTTGTACTTAAGCACTCAAGGATGACTTTCATCACGCACTGATCTCTCAAACCTTCCAATCTTTTTTCAATTCATTCTTTGTTTGCCCCCCCGCCTTCCCCCCCCAAAATGTGCTTTTCTAAAGGTTAACTGTGAACAGATGTTTAAAGTTGAGCAACCGCAACCCAAAGCAAGGACTCGTCAGTGCTGCCTGTCTGCACAGGATAAGGGGGGGGTCAAAATTGCCACCGTAGCTTTGCAGAGAAAGAACCATGCATCCTTCTAGGGAGATCATGGCTGCTTGGTGCTCATGTTCGTACCACCTTTAATTTACCATTAATTTTTACAAATTTCAATTTAATGACCGCAACAGGTCATCTTTAAAGTCTCATCAAAAAGCTGACAGCAAGTCATGCACCAAAAGAACAGAAAACACTATGAAGCAGAGCCTCCAGGAAGACCTCACGACACTCATGGAAGCTGTACGCCTCCACGACACCGCCTTTGAGGACAACCTTCCTGGCTCCAGCATGGGCGAAGGGCTGGGGACACAAGCCAGCCGTCGGGATTCAGGGCTAAGAACCTGAAACTGAGGGGCTGCCAAGAGGCAGAGGATGACTCAGCCTTCCAGAAACAGGGTGAGGGAAAAAGGATGACATGAAAGACAATCAGACCCACATCTGAGTCACCAAGAAAATAAGGAGAGAGTGAAACAGAAGAGACGTGGAAAGGGGAGGGGGGAAAAAAAAAAAAAGGAGCCTTCATTCAAGATCCTTCTACCAAGGATGGGTGGGAAGGAGGAGAGGAGCTGGGACGAGCGGGTGAAATTCTCTCCATTAACTCTTCCTTCAGGAGCAGGGACATCCCACAGGGACAGGGAGAAGCCAAGGATGAAGAAACATCTGAGGAACCAGTGTATGGGCTTTGTCCTTGCTACAAGACCCAGCAAGTCAGAAAAGCAACCGGTCACTGGACGTGGGGGTGGCCCCTCCAAAGCACCGCGCGGGTCGGCACAGAGGACGCTACCCCCCACAGCCCCGGTCACTACTGCTCACCGTGCCCGTTGCAGTAATAGATCCACTTCTCCCTGTTCTGCGTGGGGGTGGTGGACTTTTTCATAATAGCTTTTTCCACAATGGCACTGGGATCTTGCCTGGGTCCCTTCTTCAGAGTCCGTGAGCTCTTCCTGACGCTGCAGACAACGATAACCACCAGGACCAGCAGCAGGAAGAGGACGATCATCCACGGCAAGTGTTCGTTGATGTCGAAGTGCTGGTGGACGTTCTGCGGACCTCTCCGGGGGGGCCTGTACGGGACACTAGACTTCTCACCCCCCGCCATCTCCAGCGATGGCTGCTTCTCCAGCGCTTGGCTGGTCTGTTTATGCCGGGAGCTCTTTGCCTGGCCGGCAGCGCCGGAGGCCGTTATGGTCCCGCCAGCACTGTCCGTCTCGTTGGCCGAGGTTTCGTTGTAGTAGCCCGCTGGCTCCGCCGTGCCACTGGACGTGCGTGGCGCGGGAGAGGGGACAAAATCGGCAATTGAAGAGTTCAAACCTGCAAAAGGAGAGGAGAGTTCAGTGTCACAGCACCGGAGACGTGATACGGCATCATGTCACAGTCCAAGACCTGCCTGAGCATCTGCTTGGCCAGCAGACAGAAACCCAACGCCAGGCAGCGAGAAAGGGAAGAGGTGAAGTTGAGGTTCGGCTCTGGGAACAGATGGGTACGGTTACAGAGGTAGGTTCAAGATAAAATTGACCCTTGTTGGTTAAGGCTAGTTTGTTTAAAAAAACCCAAGTGATTAAAAGCATGTTGTCAATCTGTGTTTGTCCCACATTCAGTACTTCTCAGAAAACCTACAACTTTGAGGTTTCTTAGGTTTATGAACATGGGTTTCACTCCGAATGTGGAAAATGTGGTATTTGGGCTAGAAACACATGAAAATTTGGAGGCTTAGTATCTCTCTACGAGGTTTTGTGCATCAGCACTGCAAGCAGCTGTGGATGCATCAACTACAAAACAGGTTTCTGAAGCAACAGAAGCAACCCAACCTCCCCCTAAGAGCTACTTTCCATCTTTATTGAGTTTTCTTATCAACCAACAGCTCTCAGGTCCCAGCCTGCTGCACGACCAAAGCCTGGTGAGAAGAGGAAGGGCTTCTGTGGCAAAAGCTAGAGCTTACTTTGGAAACTCGGCTTTTGAAGATCATGTCTCATCCCAGTTGACGCAGAGAGTGAGTGTAATCACCTGTAACCTGATTTTTGCCTCTGACTTGGTTACCCAAAACACTCTGACCAGGATACAAACAGGGAAAATGCTTTAACTTTTACCTAGTTGTCTACAAACAAGTTTTGGGAAGTTCAGGGAACACCCTCCTGTCCTCTCCCAATGACACACTAACACCATATCAAGCTTTGAGACCCAACAAAGGAGAAGCACTGGGAGTCTACCACTGTCAACACTTCCCTGCTATTATATTTACCAACTCAGGTGTCCAGGCCATCAAAAGTTGCATTTTTTAATTAAAATGCTTCCCAGAGAGTGTTAAGCACCACCTCAAATAGGGTCCTACAGCACCACTGCAACCAGCCGTGGCTAAAGCATCTCCTAAAGACTGCGATGATCTATCACTTTCAATTAAATGATAGAATGGGGAAATCAACCTGGTTCTCCCCACCACTGATAACTAACAGAAATCTTAAAGAAAAAAAATCTACGGCACAGCCTAAGCTCCTGGAGGGCTGTTTTGGCAATGGATGCCATTCAAGCCAATAGGCTGGCTCAGCACAGGGCAAAATGTAGCAGGGAAAGCACGGGCACGAAAGCAGTGAATCCATCACGGAAACAATCTGGTGGAGCAAAGCTCCTCTCCTGCCAGGGTTTTCCTGCTGCACTCTGCTCAGGTTTGCCACAAATGCACAAAGACTTATGCCAGCACAACACACAGATGGGAAAAGAGGCTGGGGAACATGATGTCCTTTCAATACAAACAGTAGGACAGTCCAATCATGACGGCAGTCTCAGTAAAAATGTTATTAAACGTGGTTTACACAACTGAGGGGCAACCTGATGTACTCTGGAGCTGCCTTCTGGCCATGAAGCAAAAGCACCATCCGCGCTTTAGACCAGGCTGCCCTTTAACAGCCTAATGCCAGCCTTGACCGAGGCAGGAACGCAACCTCACAATCAAAAACACATCTGTGTTTCGGTGGTGGACATTACCTTTGGGAAGATGCATGGTTGGTGGAACTTCATAGGGCTCTTCATCCACTTCGGTACTTGACAAAGTCAAAGACGTGTTCGGAAGAGACGCTGGAGAACCACAGACGTTGTCACTCTCCTTCGTCCCCGGCTTGATGATCACCATGTTTTTCCCAAAGCAGTCAGTGTATGTTTTGCACTTCATCACACTAGAAGGCACATCAGAAAAAGTACCACGAGGGCACGGCTTGCACCTAACGTCTTCCGTCTCGGTTCCTTTCTTGCGGACGCCCCAGCCGACCGGGCACACCGTGTAAGGGACACAGGTATCGTTCGTCTGAAACGTACCAGACAGGCAAGTGCACTCGCGGTCAGTCAAGGCAGTACAATGAGTTTTCTCAATCATTGGCAGTTCACAGGGTTTTCTACAAGGGTGGCACCGCTCTATGCCGTTCTCATGCTTAGTAAAGGTCCCATCTGGACAAGGGCTGCACTCTCTTAAGGTACTCTTCGTACAATGTTTAGACACATAGGTTCCTGCGGGACATTTGTCGCAGATCAGCTCTTTGTTGGTGGCACGGTCAAAGTGGCGGTACTTGCCAGGGGAGAGGCTGATGGCATTCTGCTCGGAGGTCAGCTTCGGCTGACCACCAGTGGTGCCAAGGAGCATGAGCAGCTGGAAGACAGACGGGAGGTATTAGTCAACAACAGCGCGCGACCGGAGCCCTCTCTGCCAGCGATCCCTTGCAGGATCACGAAGCACATCCCAGAGCCGTGGGACCACAGAGGCGTTTCTACACGCCGGGGAAGGAGCTCAGCCAGGTCGGGGGGGAAGGGAACCGGTGCAGACGGCAGCACGCTCTCCGGACACATCGCCAGCTACGGTTATAATGCCTTAAATTTGACACCACGCTTCTCAGTGAGACTAAGCATCATTTACACCCTGCCAGGGTGGTAAATACCGCTAATTGTGTTTCAGCAGTACGTGCTACCTGGCCACCCCAGGAGAATTCAGACCAGCTTTGCATTTCAAGGCTGAGAGGCTCCAGCACAAGCCAGGCGCTTGCTGAGAAGACAAAAAACACACGCAGGTGTCAGCTCTGACCTGTAAAACTTCCTTCCTCTATATTTATTAATCTGCACGTGTTCAAATAGTTACCTTTCTAAATAATGCAAGCCGGGATGAAATCCAGGCTAGCAGGCGTCACCGGGCTACTTCTCAGCCCCTCCGCCCTTCCATGATTTTTTATAACCTTGTGCGAGTGTGGGGTTTGGTGAGACCGCAAGGGATGTTCTGCTTCGAGCCTCCAACCACATCTGAACCCACTTTAAACCAGACGCATTAGCAACAGGAGAGAAAACCTGATGCTATTTTTAAGCCCTCTGAGGAGCTCTCCTGTAACTCAGTTTCTCGTTGCATTAGATACAGGTAAAAGGTCTCCAGTTTTTAGATGCTGAACTGCACCCAGCTAGGCTTGGCTAAACGATGGCTACAAATCTGTTTATCTCTACCCATTTCCAATCCCAGGGCTTTATTCCCTTTATTTCTTTGCATCGAGGCTGCTCTATCTCCAAGAGAAGCTCCATCTACCAAGCAGGACCTCTGCTTCCTGCAGAAGACCTCTGGTCCATGGATTTAATGTCAGTTACGCCAGTGGAGATAAGACGCCAAGAACAAAAGGCATATCAAGAGAAAGGCTGACACAACTTCGCACAACATGCAAAGCAATAGAAAAAACATTTTCAAACAGCTGCACGCTGAGTTAGGAGGGAGAGAGAGGAACGAGCCAACGTTACCTTGAATTTCCAAAGGTGCTTTCCTACACAGCAGGTAAAAAGACCAGAGACCTTAACGCTTTTCAACGGCACAGCCAGGCACATAAATCGCTTGGCTATGTTACACAAGCCCTCGTTTTTGCTCTGCTACCTATTCCGGGCTATCAGCCAACAAGAATATATTCAGAAGGAAGAGAAAAAAAAAAGCAAAAAAAGCCTCCCAACACCATGACTCTGCAGAAGGCACAGCGCGGCAGAGCCGCAAGTCGCGCCGCATCATTTTTTGGTGCAGTCTCTCGCTTCCTGGAAACACACAGCACATTTCTGTTTCACCTGCTAAATAATTTACAGCTCGGGATTTCTACAAAACACTTCAATTTTCCCCCCCCCCCCCCCCCCCCCCGCCCCGAAGCAGCAATTACAGCGCAGGCAGAAGCAGGCAAGCCCGCAGGAGTTGACAAGGATCCTGCCGTGGCCAGGC